TAGTGACCCTATGTACAACAACTCTGAAGCCTGTCCTGGCTTGAGCCAGTCTCACTGATTCCAACACACCTACCTCCCATTGTCCCAGTTACTGTATCAATCCATCACATCCAGGGTCTTCCTCTCCTGTGCTGTCCCTTCACCCTTCCAGGCATGATGTCCTTTTCTAAGGACCTGTTCCTCCTGGCTATGTGCTCAAAGTAAGTGAGGCAGAGCTTCAAAATACTTGCCTTCAAGGAAAAACTTTGTTTTACCCTCTCTAAGACAAACAGATTTGTTTTCTTAGTGGTCCATGGTTTGTTCAAGACTCTTCTCCAGCACCACAGTTTGAAGGCATCAATTCTTCTTCTTTCATTCTTAGTCATTGTCCAGCTCTCTGATGCATAACAAGCAATGGCGAAGACCATGGCCAGGATCAGGCACGCCTGAGTCTCTAGACTGACACCATTGCGTCTCAGTACTCTGGAGAGATCCCTGACAACAGATTTTCCCTGTGCTATTTGTCTTTTAATTTCCTGACTGCTGGTGCAAAGAGTGTTGATTTTGGAGCCAAGCAAGCTGTAGTTGTTAACAAACTCAATCTCTTCACATAGGCCAGATACTCAGATAATTTGCTCATCATATAAATGGATTAGGTATAGTGGATACAATTCTAGTGAACACCTTTTTTTTTTTAAATTTTAAATCATGCAGTATCTCTTTGCTCCATTAAAATGACTGCTTCTTGGTCTATGTACAGGTTTCATTCACATGATCACAATTAAGTGTTTCTCTGATTCCCACCCTTACCAATATTGTCCAAAATGTATTAAGATCCGTATTGTCTAATGCCTTTGCATGGTCAAAAACCATAATTAAACATCTTTCTGTTATCTTCTAATTTCAGACATGGTACATCTGTCACACAAACACACAAAAGACATTCCCTTTTCCACAGACGCTTCTTATCCAGTTTGAATTTATGGAAGTTCTCTGTCAGTATAAAATTTCAGCTAGTTTTTAATAATTTTCTGCAAGATTCTACCTGTCTGTGATACTCATGACATTGTTCTATAATTAACAAATTCTATTAGATCACATTTTTTTGTAATAGGCACAAGTCTGAATTCCTTCTAGTCAGCTGGCTTCAAATTTCTTATCATGGATGAGTGAGCATATCCAGGACTGTATCTGTCTGCTGAAATGAATGCCTCCGTTGATATTTCAAATTCCTGGAGTCTTATTATTTGCCATTATCTTTGACTCTTGATACCTTACTCCCTGAAATAGGTCAATGTACAAATTCTTTTTGCTTATGGTGACATTGTACTTCCCTTTCATCTTTTCATGAAACCGTATCATTCAAAATTTTATCTGCAAAGTCTTTCAATATCACAATTTTAGGCTTGAATTTTTTTCTTAACTTCTTTAAGTTTGAGAATTTTTTAATGCCTTCTTCGCTTTTGGCTTTCTATCTCCTAGGTCTTTGCATATTTTATCATAATAATTGACTTTGTCTCCTTGAGCTGCCCTTTGAAATCTTTTGTTCAGCTTATTTCATCATTTATTCCTTCTACCATAGCTTGTCTACAATTAAGAGCAAGTTTCAGAGTCTCTTCTGTCACCATTTTGATCCTATCTTTCTTATCTTTTTAATGACCTTTTGTTTTCTTTCTTTATGTTGTCCTTGACATCATCCCACAACGTACCTAGTGTTCAGTAGTTAGTGTTCAATGCATCAAATCTACTCTTGAGACAACTTTTCAATTCAAGTAAGAAAAATTTAAAGTAGCATTTTGGCTCTTTTGAACTTGTCTTAATTTTATTCAATTTCAGTTTTAACTTATATGCGAATAATTGATTGTCAATTCCACAGTCAGCCCCTGGTTTTATTCTGACTGCTGATAATTGAGGGGGTCTTCCTGTTGTCTCTTTCCACAGATGTAATCAGCTAGATTCTGGTGTAGCTCATCAGAGGGTATCCACATATATAGTCCCCATTTATGGGCGTGTTTAGGTTTGTTTTTTTTTTAAAGTTAGTTATAGTTAACAAATTACTGCCTGTACCAAATTCTATTACATAATCTGGCCCCATTTCTGTCACCAAAGCCATATTTTCCAAATATCAGTATTTCTTCTTTCCACCAACTTTTGTATTTCAATTGAAAAGTATTATTTATCCATATTGATCACATATTCTATCAGACTGTAAGAATAGGTAGAAATTCTCAATTCCTGCATCTTTGGCATCTTTGGTTCATATAATTGAATAATTGTATCAGCATATCTTTGTGTGCAAATGGATAGTATTCTATCACTGACAACATATTTTAGGACATTCTTTTTGACAATAAGTGTAGTATCATTCTCTTCAATTTGTCTTTCATGGAGTAACAATTCATATAGTTGTCTGATTCAGAATGACCAACACTAAACCATTTTAGCTCACTAATGCCTACAATATGGATCCGTGTGTTCTACCCCATTTTTATAGCTTCTAGAGAGGAGATTGGGGTTGTTAACAATTCCAGCTTCCTCCGCTCCACAATCAACACTCTGCACCAGCAGTCAAGAAATTAAAAAACAAATTGTATTAAGTAAATCTGCTGTCAGGGACTTCTCCAGAGTACTGAAAAGGAATGATGTCAGTCTAGAGAATAAGGTGAGCCTAATCCAGGCCATGGTCTTCACCATTGCTTACCATGCATCAAAAAGCTGGACAATGACTAAAATGAAAGAAGAAGTGATGCCCCTGAGTTGTGGTGCTGGAGAAGAGTCTTGAACATACTATGGACCACCAAGAAAACAAATCATTCTGTCTTGGAGAGGGTGAAACCAAGTCTCTCCTTGGAGGTGAGGATTTTGAAGCTCTGCCTCACATAATGTGGACACATGGCCAGGAGGAACCAGTCCTTGGTGAAGATATCATCCTCAGAAGGGTGGATGGACGGCACAGGAGAGGAAGACCCCAGATGAGATGGATTGCTACAGTATCTGGGGAAATGGGGGCTTGTGGGTCTAAAGCAATGAAACTGGCTCAGGACAAAAAAGGCTTCAGAGATGCTGTACGTAGGGTTGCTCTGAATTGCAGGCAACTCAACGGCACATGGCAACAAGAACAAAAACAACAATTTTCCTAAATCATACTTTGTACATTCTACATTCTAATTAATAAAGATATCCGCTGCTGTTTCTCTCCTTTGAGTCACCCTTATCAGCAAGTAAGGGTCCTTCATTGGCTGAAAGCTTAACTCCATACTCATCATTAAGATAGACTCTATTTTGAAGAGACTACTCTTCCCCAGTTGATTTTTAGTACCTTCCCATCTGAGGAATTCATTGTGAAGAACTATATCAAATAATATTTGATGCTATTCAACAGGGTTTTCTAGGGCCCATTAATGTTCTAGTGGCCTAGTAGGCCCAGTGCAGCTGCACTGCAATCCCAAAGGCCACCAGCTGCTCCACGGGAGAAGAATGGGCAGTCTCCTCCCGTGCTATTAACTGCCTCTGAAACCCCACTGAAGGGTCGGCTATGGGTCGGTTCCAACTCTACACAACAACAACAGTCTGGTTTAGTCTGGAAACTCCACTGAAACCTACCCAACCATGGTTGACACTGCTAGTGTTGAAGTGTTGGTGGCACAGAATCACAGCAACACTCAAGGTACCATAGGACAACAAGCTGACAGGCAAGTGATGGTTCTGTCTAAAAGATTGTTTAAAGACCACTAAAAATTTGTGTCCATTCTCCCAATTATTAGAAGAACTCTGAATGACACCCCTGCAGGCTGATCACTGGGATTATGTGTAAAAACCTATAAAATTCTAGTGTTACATCCCATAAAAAGTGAAGCAAAAAGTAAAAAGTAGTCACCTTGTACATGACTCATTGATCTAAAAAACATACTGTGTTCTAAAATTGTAGCAAATTAAAAAAAAAATGTGTATTTTGTAGGAAGATACCCAATGATGCGCATCTAATTATCAAAAGTGGACGTCAGAAGGATAGAAGCTAATAACTATAAATAGACTCATCAATCTTTCAAAACATGGAGGCTACCCTTTACAAATAAAAAATAAAATCAAGGGAGCTCTGGAGGTGTAGTGGTGAGAAGCTATGCTGCAATCCAGATAAAGTCATAACATGTGGTCTGACAACAGGAAAAGGCTTTCCAACCTGAGATCACACGTACAGTGCCAAATATGAGAAGTAGAGGCTTGCAGAGAAAGGGAGATCGTTAGGTGGAAACTAAAATACAGTTTAGTTAAACATAGTGTAAGTGTTCTGAAATAATTTATTAATATTATTACATTAATAATAAAGCTTTACATCCTTTTAAACAAAAGATACATATTTGAGGCTGTGAAGCTTGCTGACTTAAAAAAAGGTAATTCCAAGTAATCACTTAACCAACAGGACTAATTCAGTAAACCAGATGCAGTTGAACCAGTTCTGATTTATGGCAATCCCATCACATCAGAATAGAATTGAATTTTATCAATTTTTCAGTGGCTGTGATCTTTTAGGATTAGAAGACCAAGCTTTTCTTCCACCACATCTCTGGGTGCATTTGAACCACCAACTTTCTGTGTGGGAGCCAAGAACAAACGAGGGTCTCATACACTCGAGAGAGATCTTGTTTTGGCTGGTTTGGCTCTTTGTTTTATTTTTCAAATGCACATGAAGTTTCCACAGGAACCTTGGTGCAGCAGTGGGTTAAGTATTGGTCTGGTAATCATAAAATCAGAGGTTCAAATGCCCCAGATAGAAGATAAAAATGAAACGGGCTGCTCCTGTTTACCGTACAGCCTTGAAACCTGGTGGGCAGATCAGCTTTGTCTCATAGGGGCATCAAGAGTCACAATCAACTCCATGGCGGTAAGGCATGCGGTTGCCGTGAATCAGAATTGGCTGAATAGCAATGAATTTCACAAACATTAACAGCAATTTTCTGAACACACAGTTCAAATGAAATGCTTATCTGTAAGTCTGTAATGCACCACATGGCGGCGCACTATCAGTCACGGGGCAATGAAATTCTTGTTGCTCTCTCTCTTATCCAGTTGCAGGGTGTGCGCTTCAGCACCTGGACTGGAGAAAGATGGGGGATACCGGGTGGGGGGCATGTGGTAGCGTACATTTTTCCAAAACTTAGTCTTTGCAGATTGAGCTTCCTTTGTGAAGTGCCCATGCCACTGGATGGCGCCATGCTTCTGTCTGATATACTTGATTGACTCCGGCATGTTTGTGTAGTCCTTGATTTTCTCCAGCTCAATCAGAATGACCTTCATTCCGTCCTGGATGAGGGCATTGTAGACCGTGATTTGTTCTTCTGACATGTTTTTTAACAGGCCAAAGTGCAGAGACTCCGGGATTATGATGATGATCAGCCTCCTGCACAGCTTGATGTTCTCATCGATGACACTGGCCACAGCTGTTTAGGCAAAAAGAAGAACCAGCTTAAAATAGCTCACAGTTAGAGCAGCTTTGATCGTAATGTTACTAAGAAGGTCAGAAATGAGTAGTAACATGAAAGCACGGATTTTGCACAGGATCTAATCAGAGCTGTTGTAACTTTTTTTTGTTTTTAAATGGGTTTGCTTACAAAGTACACATACATTGTGTTTCACACCATTCTTCATTCACATTGTGTTCCATACAATCATTCTCCTGCATTATGTTTTATAAAACTAATGACCATTGAGCCTTGCTCCTCATCATCCTGTCTTTTTACCCAGATCCTTCCCATTTCCTTTCTCCCCTCCCTCCACCCACCAAATCGATGTAACATTTTTAATGTGTCATTCCCTCTGTGTAGTCTTTCTCACTTTCAGCACAGATTTAGACTTCTTTGTTCACAGATCAGATTTTCCTATAGCCCACTCCACTTCTGGATTTTCACAAAATGAGATTCTAATCATGACTACATTTATATTCCCATTCTTGGTGAAAGAATGGACACTATTAGAGACATAGAAGTCATAGGGAGAATGTAGTTAGGTCAAGTGCTATGTTAATTTTGTATCACTTTCTCTCTTACCTTTATGTTGTATTACATTACCTGGACTTAAAGTACTAATTATGAAACCATACCACACACTCTAATGATTGCTTGGGGTCATTTAAAGAATATTTTAAATTCATTTCTACCAACAATGATGTCCCATAGTAAATACAAGATTAAGCTAACACCTACAGATCTAAGGTTCTCTATGCTTGGTTTATTTCTGTATTTCTAGTTCCTAGGTGCTTCCAATTCACTAGCTGCTCCACCAAAGAAAGATAGGTAATCTCCTTCCATCAGATTTACAGCTTCTAAAAATCAACCGGTGTATCATTATGAATCAGTTTCAACTTGAGGACAATGAATTTGAAGATTTGTTTTGTTTTGAGTGACTAGGATATAGTCCTTGGATGGTGCAAATGGTTGTTAATGCCTCAACTCCTAGCTCAGAAAAGAGACCTGGCTATTTGTTTCCACAACTAAAACCCCTAGACAACACAGTTCTACTTTAATGCAAAGAGGGTCACTATATAGCAATTGGTTAAAGCTTCCAGCATGCTCTCTGGTAATAGTAGGTTGTTGTTGTTGTTGTTGTTATGTGCCGTTGAGTCGCCTGC